CTGTGAAGATTCAGGTAGTGATACCGGACGTGGCGGCGGGAAGTGACTTACTTCACTTATTGCTGCTCTTCTCCACATCATCCAATACCTGCTTGGCTCTTCTGCATTTTGGCCACAAGTGCGGTTCTTTGGCAGCCTCCATGCTGCTGCAGTCCTGGACTAGGGGGGAGAGATGGGCGGGGGTGGGGGAGGGAGGAAGAGGGGAACCGGCTAGGGTGGGAGGCTGGCCCGTGTTTCTGCCTGTACACATATTCTTTCACCTCCCCACTTGTTGGAGTCTAGCTGCTGGCTACTGAAGACTTTGTGTGACAAAAGTAGTAAGGGTGTTAAGAGCTAAAATAATGAGAAGGGAATCGTGATGATGTGCTCTTTACTTATTCTTTTCAATTAAATTCAGTATCTCATCTGTTTTCTTCAATGTATTCAATGTATTCCTTTTGCTTACTGAAAGCTCTGCATTTGGACAATACAAACAATCCAATCAGTTTTCCTTTTTACTTCTCAGGCATCCACAGTGGCCAGTACAATGATCCAATGTTCCTGCTGAGGAGCAAAAGTGGGGGTGGGGTGAGAACAAAAACACCTTTTTTTGTTTAGATGTTTAAATACAAAGGACACAAAAAGGTGTTTTTTTTCCTGTGACCTTAAAAGAAAAAGATGAGAGCCTATATTATCCTGTATTAACTTTTAAATCAAAATCCAAATTTGGAACCAAAAAATATGTGCTGGGACTCTCTTTGTCACATTCAGTGAGTGGCCTTTTCAACCTCGGATTCTTCAACACTAGTAAATGCTACTACTATAATCTAAGCATAAATACAAGGCCCTTGCCCCCTGGAGAGCTTGACTGAATGGCCTGTAATACTTTAATTTCATAAGCTGCCCTCCATACAAGTTTTATGAAAGATGCTGAGCCACATAAAAATTATACCATGGTGTTAGTTTTCATGGTTTGAGAAAACAACAATATTGCTTTCCAAAAGAAACCTGGAAAGAACACTGGATATGGAGACAGAAGGCCTGCCTAGATTTAAATCCCAGCTCTGGCACTAAATAGTTCTTTGGCCAGTCAATCCACAAGCATTTATTCAAGTGTTTATCATGTGCCAGGCACTGTTCTAGGCTCTGGGGATCCAAAGAAGGGCAAAAACACAGTTCCTCCCTCAAGGAGCTTATATTCTAATGAGGGAAATAATATGGTCCAGTCACTTAGCCACTCTGAACCCTGTTTTCCACATCTGTAAATACACTTAATAATAATAATAATACACTTATGCTCCCTATTTCTTGTAGGTTTTGTGACCATAAGTATAAAGGACTATATAAATACTAGCTATTATTATTGCTTATGAGAACCCTAGTGAGCTCTAAAAGGCCAGCTATATTTCTTCTAACAGAGTTGATCTAGTAATAACATTAACCATTTTTACATTGTAAATACAGTACTTAATATTGCAACTGTAAATGAGAATTGCTCAGAAACTTTCTGTGTTAGATAGAAGACAAATTGTCAGTAGCACACATTAAGAAGATGTTCAACAGAGCCATTCTGAGGGTTCTGGGTCCTCTCATCAGTCAGCACCAATGGAATAATTATCTGGCCTTAGATATTTATACTCTCTTTATTCCCCCATATTGTATTTACTTGTCTCTCTCTCTCCCTCCTCTCCCACCCCCAAACAAGGGGTCAATGCACTGGGTAGCCATGGCTCTTATTGGAAATCCCACTGTGAGTGACATGTGGTGAGATCATAAAGTGGATAACATTTGTTCCCAGCTTCTTCCCAAGTCATCTTTCAGCTACTTCTCTCCCCAGTCCTTGAGTATTGTATAATGAAAAGTATTGAATTTGGAGTCAAGAAAACTTGGATTCAGATTCCATCTTTGACACTTATTGGCTGTTAGATTATGGGCAAGTCTGAACTTCTCTGACTCTCAGTTTCCTCCTTTGTAAGAAGATAAGGCTAGACTAGATGGCTCTAAATTTCTCTCTAGTTCTAAATCTGTAATCCCAAACTCAAAGGGCATCATCAACTTTTATAGAAGGGATCCTGCTTATCTGTCCAAGATGGGAATTCACATTTCTACTGGTCACTCATTAATGCTCAAAGTACTAGATTTCTGATGGTGACATTTTAGGCCCCTGGATAGTAGCCTTAAAAAAAAAATAGCAACATCTTTCCAGAGCCCCTCAAGTTGTACTCCATAGGCAATCATTCTGTCTCCCTATGAAGCTGGATTTCCTGATAGCCCATGAAACAGCTAAACAACTAGAGGAGATTTTGTAATCTACTTTCATAGCACATACGGATATCTCATCACCCCAAATGGACATTTTTTCCATTAATAAATAATCAAAATCCCTCTTGCTGTACCTAGAGGTCCCCTGTGGAAATGCAGAACATTGTCTATGGTTACATGGCTAGTATATGTTGGAAGCAGGATTTGAACCCAGGTCTTCCCAACTCCAAGGAGTGTTATATACAGATAAGTGATTATTTTCCAGGATTTTTTAGCATTCTGTAAACTAATGGAGCCTTATGACCAAGCATAAAATAGGAATCGATCAATTTGCACCTTCCACATCCACCCCACCACACATACTACATTTCCCCATCATTTTTCCCTTCTTCAAGACAATAATATCCTTTCCTTATGTCAATCAGTTAATAAACACTTATTATGTGCCATGTACTGTGCTAAGGTCTGGGGATACAATGAAAGGTAAAAGACAGTACCTGTTCTCAAGGAGCTCACATTCTAATGGGGAAGACAACATGCAAATAACCATTGAGAGCAAACTATGTATTGAACAAAAGCATAAAATGAACTTTCAATTTCCATCATTTATGTGACTCTGACATTCTATACACTGAATTTATTGGAAATGGGTGATACGTGCTTTTTAGACAAAATCATTCACAGAGAACTGTTTCCCTCTTTTTTTTTTAGAAGTCACTTCTCTGTTTGCAAAACCTTCATCCAACCTGAATAAGTGTCATGGGATTTCACTTCCTCTAACCTTGTTGACTGGTTGATGCCCTTCCATAAATGGAAATCAAATGAAAATAGGTTTTACAGTGCTCTTGGAGAAAGAAGAGCAACACTTAGTAAAATGCTACCAATAATTACTTAAAAGCATTTAAGAAAGGGAGTCAGAGAAAGACTATCTTTTATCAGTTTATTAAAACTTACCGTCTGGAAGTGACAAGAACAGTGATAAAATTGAATAAAGGACATCTATCCTAGTGCTCTGCATCTTCATTAATAAACTATTCAAAAAATGTGCAGACACATTTTCTTTGCCAATTAATTAGAGAACTGACCCTTAGAATGGGGGAATCACATGAATGTAGTAGCTTCATGCCAAGTCTCTTTCTTCATACTAACAGACCTTTCACTTTCACATACTCTCCTTTACTACATTACCTACCTTTTTCATAAAGAATTATTCTACCTCTGGTCCTATGCCTAAAATTAAAGAAGCAAAAAAAAAATAAGTCATTACTGATAAATTAGTCAGTCATTTTTGAAAAAGATTCCATGCCTCTTAAAGACAGATTTTTTATTAAATGAGAATTCCTGGCAACTTGAAAAAAAATCATTTGTTAGGCAAAAGTGTTACACTGAGATAATACTTTATAAATAAACTTTATTTGGATCCGAATTAAAAGATAAAAATTAGGATTTTTGAATCTATTTTTTTACTCATTGATATACTCTGGTGAGACCAAGACTCTTGCAGAGTGGTAGTAGGGATCAGGGTAGGGAACTCAGAGGTAGAAAAAAGTAGAGTTACTGATGAATTCATAGGTGCAGCCTCTGAGGACTGAAGGAATATATTATTTATTTGTTTGTTTGTTTTATTGTTTGTGTGCAGCTTTATTTAGCTTGCTCATGATTGGTGCTTTCAAGGATGTGTGACATCTGCTTATCTTGTATAGCAGCTCTTTTTGTGGTGGCAAAGAAATGGAAATTAAGAGGATGCCCATCAATTGGGGAATGACTGAACAAGTTGTGGTATAAGAATGTAACGGAATGTATTGTTTCGTAAGAAATGATGAGCAGGCAGATTTCAGAAAAACATGGAAAGACTTACATGAACTGGTGCTGAGTGAAGCAAGCAGAACCAGGAGAACATTGTATACAGTAATAGTAACATGGTGCTATGACCAGCTTTGATAGACTTAGCTCTTCTCAGCAATATAATGATCTAAGACAATTCCAAAAAACTCATAATAGAAAATGCTATCCACATCTAGAGAAAGAACTATGGAATCTGAATGCAGATCGAAGCATACTATTTTCTCTCTCTTTTTTTATTTCTCATG